ATAGAGCAACTTCTGTCTTAGGAGAGAATGTAAGGCTGTTACAGAATTAATTACTGTACTTTTTATGTAAGTATGTGATTTTATTAATGTAAATTAAAGTATTTTGGCATACTACAATCTGATGGTTTCTTCCATCCTGTTAAATGTATATTTTTGTACTGTAAGAGATAATAAAGAAAAATAAAATTGAACAAAAAATATCTATGGGTTTTTGTTGCCAACCGTATCTTTAATATTGAATTTTTCTGATGGACTTATCATTAATGAATGAAATCTCTGGGTCATAACTCTAAGCTTTGTTTTATATTTCTATCTGTTGATGCTGTTTTCTTTACTCTGAAAACACTTTCTAAGCATACCCTATACAATTCAGACACTGACTCCCATGTACTATTGGCTATTCTCCTTAAAAAAAACAAAATATAAAGTATAGCAAGAAAAGGCATATAAAGTGTCTAATTACAAAAGTATGAAAATTAAGATATGCAAATTCCTATGGTTTTGTTGTTTTATAGCAAAAACTTAGGTTGCATCAATTCTGACTTTTTATTAGCAATTAATAAGGATTTTTGAAAAAAATTTTCCACCCAAATGTTCAATGTAAGTTACACGTATATACACACACAATGAATATACTTCAGCTGGATCAATGATTTGGTTCTTGGGTTGTAACAGGATAACAATGATTAGTTGAGGTGAGTCTGTAAAGTAGTTCCAGAGTTAACAATTTTCCCTACCTTACTTAATCAGAGCTAGTAATTTTTCACTACAAACTAAAATTGAATGAATATATAGTAAGAATTACCATTTTTTTAAAGATTTGATTTATTTATTTTTAGAGAGGGAGAAAGAGAGAGAGAGAGAAACATCAATGTGTGGTTGCTGGGGTTATGGCCTGTAACCCAGGTATGTACCCTGACTGGGAATTGAACTTGCAACACTTTGGTTCGCAGCCCACGCTCAATCCACTGAGCTATGCCAGCCAGGGCAGAATTACCATTTTTTAAGAATTGCTTAGTTTTGCTGCAAATACCTTTGTAGGAGCTAGGTCTCAACTCTCATGTGTGTGTATTTCATGTAATCTGAATTTTTGGTGCAATAGAAAACTTTTATTCAGATTGATCTTGATACAAATCCTGTATGGTACTTACTAAAATATGGAGATTTTGGTAAGTTATTAAAATTTTCTGATCTCTGGTTTACCTACCTGTAAAATGGGGATAGTGATGAATACTGCAGAGAATAATTGGGAACATTACGTGAAATAATGTATGTAACATGCTGAGTGCAAACCATGGCACATGAAAAGTTTAAAATAGTGTTGCCCCTTCTCTCCTTTTCAACATCCTTTTGCTGATTTAATTATAATTGTAGTTGCAGCTTGATACAACTCAATTTCTTGCTCTTTCATGCACGTAGAAATGCATGCAGTGGTCATGTGCCACTTCATTACCAGTGTCCACAATTCATGCTCTCTATAAACTGAATAAAACATATTTAATGCATTTTTGCTTTCTTGTTAAGAAGGTAACTCATAAATTCAGTGAACACTTCTTTTTCTGGCCATTTTCATCTTCCCACAGCTATGCAGTTCTGGCTTCTGCTTTTCTTAAAAGAGATAAAGCTGCAATGCTAAACATACAATGGAAAAGCATTGTCATAGGAAAACCAGTGTCAGTGAAGGAGGTGGCCAATGGACAAAATAAATTTCCCACTTAGCTGCATTTTTAATGGAAGCATTGTGGTCACCATGTTTTTCTAGGGAGAGAAAATTTTATACTTTGGAAACTGATTTTAAATATATTCATGGTAGGTGGTGGCATACCAAAGGTGGGAGAAAGCAGCCTGCCCTGGTACAGGGAATGAGAGACTGTACTGCCAGCAGAAAATTCTAGAAGAATAACATTGACTGAATGTCATTTACATTTTATCTACATCTACATTAATTTCTTGTTATTTGCAGCCATATGTTTTAAATTGGCAAAAGACAAAAAATTGCAGCACCCTGGTAATTGCAAACAATTACAGTGATAAAATTCTTCAAATTAAGCAGATCGTACCTACCATGCCACTTAATTAAAGATGGTTCCAATTCCATAATCTCCAAATATGGATGTGGAAAATATTTTTCTGGTCTATATTTAGAACAATGAGAGAAGTCAGTGACCTATAGTGTTAAGGGGATACAAGTTAAATGACCTTATTCACAAAAATTACTTAGGCCTCATGCATCATTATTTATAGTGAAAAATAGCACTTTTAAACTCTTTCTAAGAATTGTATGAATCATACTAATATGATAGAGCTTGCTTGATTTGCCCAGGGCACATATTTTAGGCTTATTTTTTTTGCTAATGTTTTTGTCCTTGGTAGTATAGCAGGCATTACAGTTTTGTGCTTAACAAAAATAGCTTAACTTCTTCATAACAGTTGATTGTATGGTTCAAGGAAGATTTCACAAATGTGTTGGGAGAGAACTGGATTTTTTTGTCCATTCACTTGAGACATCATTTCTAATTTGTATGCCATCTTATAGTAGTTGAAAATGTGTAATAAATTCATAGATTAAATACCACTCCAACTAAGAATAATCAATCAAAAATGACAGCTGATTGATTTCTTTTGTAAATGAGAATATACTTATTGTTTAATTGATTTCAATATGCTCAAAAGGTGATTTCAAAGTCATATATTCAAAAGAATATTGCTGCTGTTCTAGTGAGAATTTTAGAAGTTCAAAAATGTGACTCACTGACTGACTTGAGATCTTTTTCTCCTGTCAAGACAAGGAAATTTATGACCTAGTCACTCATGTGGAACTCGCTGTGAATGTAGATAATAAGGAAAAAAAGTTAAATTCATGAAGAAGTCTCAGTTTTTAATGTTATTAAGAGTTTCTTCCAGTTACTTTAGAGTATGAATCAAACTATTTCTTTTGAATGAAACATGGAATGCCTTTTACATCGTGTAGAAAATATATGATCTCCCTTGAACACAATGATTACAGATCTTGGGTACCATTATAGGCAAGAAACAGATGGCTCCACAATATAGGAGCACTTTTAAATAAACATTAATGCAAGATAGAATAAAAATCTTATTAAGAATGCAGTTTTAATCATGTTAACTGTTGTTGACTTTGCTACGTAAAACTATTTCACAGATCCTAGAAAGGGAAAAATCCAATTAGTACAGGATATGATGACAGTATGGCATTAACTATATTATTTACAATAAGGTCATCTCCCAGAAAAAAGTAAGAGTCAATGTTTTGGTTTCATGAGACATGGTCTATAAATATTTTTAATTGCTTTCATGATATTTGGGTAGACTTATTATATATGTCTACTCATTTTATCATTCTAAAATATGTTTGTTTATATGGTAGCCTGAAGCATAATCATCCTCACTAAAGAATGTTTTCCCTCTGGTTTGGTAATCTTAAGTATTTAATTGACCATTTAAAAATAGGTAATTTCTATAGTGAACTAAGCTAAGGAATAAAAATATTTTGAATAGCTAGCTTTCAATGTATTTAAAGGCTTATTCCTATAATAATAACATACTACACATTAGATGAAAATTGCACTAGATATATTTATTACTCTAATACAGGTTTAAGGATGCTGATGAGGAGGAGGAGGAGTTCCATAGCTATTGATTTTCACAGATGACTAACTTTGGTTAGGTCTTTTTATCACCGGATATAATATAAAAATGCATGCTCCTTTGTAACTGATCGTCTAGCTTCAGCTTCAATAAAAGCACCAATATTGCTTGTTAGAATATAGTGGAAGGTAAAGGGGCTGTGAGGTTAGATAATAGCTCCTGTATTTGCCTAATAGTTGTCAATGTGCACTTCATCAGATTACTTACCAGTTATATTCCTGTTTCCCCAATGTTAAAAGAACGCTAATTACACATTTTGCACCCAATTTCGTGAGGAATAAATAAGTTCTAATACATGGTTTGTTTGATGTATTCAGTATCAAATAATATTAGTTCAGTCTTCCTTTTCTATTACCTAGCATAAAATTATGATGTGATTTTTAAAAACTAAAATGAAGTTTTACTTTATAATCTCAGAGTTCAATATTCCTCTCTTGGGTCCATACTCATCTCTTCCACATCTTCTCTCCTTTGAAATTTGTCTACTGCATGGTAAATTTCACAGCCTTGCCTATGAGCTACCACTCACAGCTGTGCCTGAGTCCTGTTCTCTGCTTTCTGGTGCATTTCTTTTCCCACATATTAAGAATAGATTTTAGACATGGAAAAATGTGAGCTCTTTTGCTGTGGACAAGGACATGGAAGTTATTTGAAGTGCTTTGCTTATTTTGTGAACCAAGAATGTGGTCCGGACCAAGCCTCAGTCTTGGGTTTCATATCCCCAGTTCCTCCGATGGTTTGAAATGATAAGATTTTCAGGGACTTTGTTCTTTTTAAATTTGTCTTTACTAAGTAAAGCTTTATCATTTGGTATATTTATTTGGTGGCAGTTCAGTGGAATACGATGAACTATGGCTCTTGTAAAGTGTTTCAGGAAACATTTACCAGCCTCTAATGCATAGCATGACAGGTTACATTGCCAGGACAGAAGACAGATATATTTAAAGAAAAGATGCCTCAGTGAAATCAGAAGCCTCTTTCACTTTTAAAATATTAATATATTAATATGCAGACTCTGCTTAAAATCACAAACTCTTCATTAAAAACATCAGAAGCCCTTTTTTTAGCTAACAGAGTTTACAATTTTATTTCCACATTTCATAATACAAATGAAATTTTTTTCTCCCTTTACTCCCCTCCAAAACGAATTATTTTTTTGACAGGAAGAGGGAGTGAGTCTTCCTTGTCACGCTGTTAGAAAACACCCAGAGCCACAGCACCATGAGCTCCTGGTGAAGTAGACCAAATTATAGAAAGCTGACTGAAAGTGGCTCTGGCTCCCCACTCTCCTTATCTGTCTGGTCAAGTCATTCCTGGCTGAGTGGCCACCATCACAGGGTGGGCAGCAGGTCTTGTCTTGGGGGCTCAGGCATCACTGGCATGTGCCCTCCAATCTGTGGCCTCATTCTAGAAGCAGGTCCCAACTGGCAATACCCAGGAGGAGAAGGACTCATCATTGGCATCATGGGCGGGCCTACCATATGGGGTGCTGGCATCATACCAGGGCGAGGAGGACCCGGTGTTTTGTCAGTCAGGCTCTGAGCCTGCTCTTCCATCCATTTCTGAGAGCAGTCCTTCACGTCCTCTTTGTGTTTCCTACCACTGCATTGCGTCCTTCTCACAGATGGAGAGTCACGGGTGAGGTACATTCGCAGTGTTCACAATGAAACTTGGGCATTTTGTTCTGCAGGCTGCTGGCCTCTTGGTTCAGCAAGTCTTAACTATCATGCTCTATAATGGATGTGAATAATATATGATAATAGCAAAAGTGCAAAAATTAAAAGAAAATAAATCAGTTCTCTCTCTAGTCCATTGATATTCATTTCAAATAAATTACTCTTTGATTTTCTTGTTTTGCCCCAAAGAGCTTGGATTTCTAAAGTTGCAACTACCGTGGCAGCAGACTGTATGTGGAAATCATCTTTATGTCTGCTGTTGATTGACAGCATCTAATGAACTTACACGACTTATCAGAGAAGGGTTTTAGGATTGTCTGTCACTTGGCCATGTTTTTGGTAAATTTTCTTTTACCAACGTTGTACCTATTACAACATATATCCTTTCTGTAGAATATCAAAGAAAATGAATGATGAATGCTGTACCATCAATGAATGTAATTTTAGTTAGTCAGGAAAAAAAATCATGTTTCTACAATACCCCCTACCTCTGTCCATAAGTCAATTACCATATAGCCAAAGACTTTATGAAAGTTTTCCTGCCAATAGTTTTAAAAATAAATTTTTCCTCCAATTCCAACAGAAAAATCATAAAAAGTCATGTTTCCATAATGACAATTGAACTTAAGTGTTGAAATTAAAAAACACACTGAAAGGGCATTGGTGGAAACTGAGTCATGGTTCAGGGCATAATTAGTAGTGAGCAAAATCAATGACATGGCAAGGAACAGACTAACTTTTAAAAGGGTAGAATAGATATTGAGGGTAAATGCACATATTACATAAATGTAAGAATATCAACTGATTGTCCTGTATGAACTTACTAGAAATAAACAATGAAAAATGGACAAATAGGAAAATCTGGAAATTGAACTGAATAATTATATTAAAGAAATTGTTAATATTTGAAATATTTGATAGTACTGAGTTTATATTTAAAGAACTGGTTCTATATCATTTAAAGGTGTATATATGTTATATTTACTGATAAACTATATGACATTGGGTTTCTTTAATCTGTGTACCTTGGCAGGTGGTTAATTTGATAGGATCTATATAAAATAAGATTGGTTGTTATGCTAAGTGAAATAAACTGTCAGACAAAGACAAATACTGTACATTTTCACTGATAATGTGTAATCTCATGAATAAGCTGAACTAACAAACAAATAGAGACAAACTCATAGATGGAGAGCAGGCTGACGGCTCTGAGGAAGCAGAGTTGGAGCATGGAGGGGTTGAGCAATACAGAAAATGGACTCATAGACATGGGCACCTGTGTGCTGATCGCCAGGGCCACGGGTTGGTGGTGGAGGTAGAAGAGGGTATAAGGGGAATAAATGGTAATGGAAAAAATACAATTAAGAAAAGTCTTTATACTATTCTTTCTATTTTTATTGCATTAAATTTTTTTTCTTTATAATAGGTTAATGACTTTTTAAAGGACCTGTATTTATCGAAACACTGAAAATTTATTTGCACATATATTTCAGGATGATATAAAATATCAAATATAAAAGGGGAGGCCAATATCTTATTAGGCAACATTTTCAATTTATTGAATAATACCATTATATCTTAAGTTACATTGTATTTCTATCTACCACATTCCTCATGATTTGGTAACATATAATCAAAAGGAAAAAGGTATTATCAAAACCTTTTTTAAACAATGAAGGTATTTTTATTAGTAAGAATTTAATACCAGAGATATGAAGTCACAGACTTTTTGGTTTGGTGGGGGAGTCAGATATTCTGAGTACATTTTCTATTATTAGAATGCATGTCAACACAGAGGAAGGATGTTCGTGCTGTCACAGGGCATATACTTAGGCTATATCTGAACATTATTTTTCAGGAAGAAGTGTTCAATGATTTGATCACTTGTCAAAAGCATTGCACTGAAAGATCTTGCAAAGCCTTCAGTTTTATTTTCTACCTGGAAAACAAAGAACAAAGGCCCAATTTTTCAGTGTGGTGTAGAGAAATCCATGCACATTACAGAAATCCTTGTGAAAAGCAGGAACTACACTGAATTTGCTATACCTTATTCCCACCTCTATCATTCCCATTACAAATTTGTGTTACTGTTATTATGCATAAGCTTAATTCAGTTTGTTTAGACTTTGGGGTGCTGAGAGGGAGTTGTTATATAATTGTTTGGTAAGAAACTTTAAAGGAGCTCCGCAATGAAATTATATAGTAGACAATGCAGATAGATGTGTTGTGGAGAATATTTTAAGCAGATGGTATCCACAGTGGTATATCTACAATTTCCCCTAAAGTTTCCTTGTCATTGAATGAGCCATACTGTAGCTGAAAGTGAAGCTTCAAAAAATGCTACCTCTGGTTTGATAAATAAGATATGCTTTTATAAAATAAGATATACTGGAAACTTAACCTTTTGAAATAAAAGACCGATTATTGCCAAAAAGCAAACAGAAAAATACTACTTCTGAAAAAGGGGTCCCAGTGTGATAACTGTTCCCACCTCATAGGAATGTTCAGTAAACAAAGGGGATAACTGAGGTGAAAATACTTGGAGCATTTCAGAAGTCAGGTGAAAAAAAAGTTCAATATATTATTATATTATGATATTATAGTTTGGATGATATATATGATTTAGATATCTATAAGTAGCCATGATTAATTATGTGTTATAAAGAGGATTTATTTTCTACAATCTACAAAATCTACTGCCATGCATACTTTTCAAGTTTTCCCTATCAATAATGCATGAATACACTTTTGTGCTGCATGTTTTCATCTTCATACACGTTATTTTTTGTCTGGTAGAGAAATTATGTACATTTGCAAAGCCTTGGAAAATAGAGTCTTTGACAAATAAGTATTGCAGTTTCAGATCTAAGTCCTCCCTTTTTAACTCATCATTAAAAAGTTCCAAAATACATATGTTTTCTTAACAGGTAAATAATATTTGAATTCAATTAGGTTCATACTTCATACTATTGGAACTTGAAACACTTGAAACTTTATATGAGATCTGTCCAGAAGGTGTCCGGCCATGTAATATTAAAAATAGAGACATTTATTGAAGAAGATACAAGATACAAGAAACAATGTACATGGGATAATGACACCTCAGTCCCCTTCAAAGTAGGCACCTTAGGATCTCACACAGTTCTCCCAATTGCCATCAGCAGGCCTGTTGTATTTTCTTGAATCTCATCCATGGTCTGAAATCTCTTCCCTTTCAAAGGTGATTTCAGTTTTTGGAAAAGCCAGAAGTCGTAGGGCATTTACCAATTTAAAAAACAATATGAGGGGTTTAAGAGCCAAATTATTAGCCCAAGCTAAATGGTAAAGGATTAACTATCTGACTCCTTTTCCACTACTCTGTCCTCCCAATGGGCTAACTTTAAATTGTTTAACTTTCTCTCTTTTTGTAGGAAAGTCTCACTGCCATTTAGTTCTTTGTTCTCATCATCTCCCTACAGAAGATTACTTTTAATTAGCATGTGAAAAATTTTCATATTGATATATAAAATATTGATAAAAATTGTCTTAAGGACATCTGCATATTAAAAGAATAAAAAACGTAAACGTGTTGCCTTGGATCAGTGGTTAGAGTTTACTACTAATGATTATAATTCCTATATGGGATAAAAAAATTTGGAGTAAGGGCAAATATTAGTACTTATTTAGAGTTATCATTATATAGGCTCTTAAAATTTAACTCATACAAAATTTTTGTTTGGATTTGCAGAATGGAGAGGCTCAGTGAGTTCCCATCAAAATGACAAGGGGACCAAATACAGTAAGACATACTATCTTGAAGTGTCAGACAGAACACCATGCTTAGTGATGAGTTCATAAAAGTTTCCAGTTGGGGCGACAACTTGTATTTTTTTAAAAAATATGTGGGATATTATCAGATTGCTCAATTGCATGTAAGAAATTTGGGACACATAGTGCATTAAAATTCTGAAAGAACATTATTTCAAATTTACAATTACATTTTCAGAAATCTAAGATAGTAAATAAAATGGAAGTATTCCCAAACATATAAGGTAAAATATATCAATTTTTTTCTCTATAAGCTTTCCCACAAAAAAAATAGAATTTTGAGGCCCATCATAACGAGGACTCTTATAGGATATAATATTCTTACCAAGATGCATGAGTAGAAAATCCAGGTGGAAGTGACTTTCTGGCTTCCCTTTCTACAAACCTTTTCCTTGATTTTTATTCTCACCTGTAGCACTAGTACATAATGTTTACAGGTGTCTTTTTATTGGAGGAAGAAGCTTTCTACCTGCTTCTGTCCCATTTTTATTTAAAATGCAGGAACAATTCCTTAGAACTAAACTAGAAATAAAATGTTTTTCATAGCCAGTCTCCCTTTCAGATACTTACTCTGTGTTTAAATCCAGAGACATCATACTTCAAATCAATATTCATACAGTCATATGCAGCTTGTCAGCAGGGATATATTCTCAGAAATGTGTCCTTACGTTATTTCATCATGCAAACAGTATAGAGTTCACTGACCCAAACCTAGCTCATGTGGTCTTCTACACACTAGGATATGTGGTGTAGCCCTGTTGTCCCCAAGATTTCTGGCACCAGGGACTGGTTTCATGGAAGACAACTTTCCACAGACCAGGGTCAGGGGGATGGTCTCGGGATGATTCAAGTGCATTTACATTCAAGCTCACCTCCTACTGTGTGGCCTGGGCCCAGTTTCTTAACAGGCCCAGAGCAGTACCCATCTGTGGCCCAGCGGTTAGGGGCCCTTGTGTAGCCTATCGCTTCTCACCTACAAACATGTACAGCATGTTTTTGTACTGAATACGATAAGCAATTGTAACAAAGTGGTAATTACTTTTGTATCTAAACATATCTAAATATAGAAAAGGTACGGCAAAAATACAGTGTGAAGGATAAAAATGGTTCACCCGTGTAGAGGACTTACTATGAATAGAGCTTGCAAGACTGGAAATTGCTCTGAG